TGTCACTTTCCACTGAACTGGAAATCCCAAATGATATATGTATGTACATAATTTATTTAAAAAGAAGGAATAGAGGACAATAAGCTGACTCATATTCAAAGTTAAACCTTAGCACTGCAAAAAATTATGACTAGACAGACATTTATGCTTTTAATTAAAATAAACTATTTAAAATAAAGGTATCTATATATAGTTACCTCATTAATTTATGCTTTTTATTGTTGTTGTAGTTATTTAAATGGCCAATACCGGTCTTAATTGCTCTTAACTACGCCCAGCTGTGTGTGTATTTTTAATATATACATATTATTAATCATGGGGCATATGTAAATTTGTGCTAAGAGTCAACCCAAAAATAAGATAGGACTTACTATATACATATTTGGGTTCTACTTGAACAATAGCTATTTGGTTGTTTCATGAGCCAGAAACTTTAAATCTTCTTTTCTTGCAAGATTCTTAGGAAGGAAACATATCCTTTATTGACCCCATCATTGCTGTACATAGTTGTATCAGAAAATATTCTTGGATTAAAGTAATTTACCTGGGGGTTAGCCTTTTTGGATTAATGAGTTTTTCCTTGGAAAAAGAGAAAAATATGTGACAAGTTGAATAGTCCAACTAGAAAACTCAGACCTTCCTGAGATTCTTTCAATATTAGGATTAAAAGGTGTTTTTTGAAAATTGTTGTCAAATCATTACTTGTTTATTGAGCCATAATAAGCATACTTAAAAAGTGAAGACATTGAAAGTGTAGACAGATAGATCTGTATTCCTTAAAAATTTCTCATTTTCTTCTGAATCTACTCTTTCCCTTATTCTTCTTATTTCCTTGTCTCTTTTGTACGGTTAACTGCCTATGGGCAGATTATTGGGATGTGCAGCTTTGTCTTCTGCCAAAGGATGCATGCCCCATGCCCTCTGCTTCTGAGACACTCACTGGAGAGCTTCACAACACTCTGCCTTCCATTCCAACTACTTACACACATGCAGAAGGACTCAGATGTCTGTGTCCTTTTCTTGATGGGTCAACAATAATCCCCTTATGTTTTTCAGCACAGGCAACTCAGAAGAGAAGGAATAGCTGTTTGTGTTTTCTATGTATTCAAGACAGACCTTATTATTTTTTTTTGTTTAAATCCATATTACATACTTAAATTGGTCACCTTCCTGATTACTCTTGTGTTATGGGCTGAATTGTGTACCTTCCCATCTGTGTATCAAAGGCCTCACCATCACAGTACCACAGAACGTGACTGTATTTGGAGACAAGCTTTTTAAGAAGTAATAAGGTTAAATGAGATTAATGGGTTGGGCCCTAATCCCATGTGAATGGTTCTTTTTTTTCTTTCTTGACTCCTTTATTATTCTATTGCTTTTTAAATTTTATTTTATTTATTCTAATTAGTGATTGACAGCAGAATGCAAGTGACTAATGTTCTTATAAGAAGAGAAGATTAGGATATAAGCGTGTGCATAGAGGGGAGACCATGTGAAGACACAGGGGGATGACCATCTACAAACCAAGGGGACAGGGCTGAAACKGATTCTTCCCTCATGGCCCTCAGAAGAAACAAACCCCGATGACACCTTGTGCTCAGATTTCTAGTTTCCAGAACTCTGAGAAAACCAATTTATGTTGTTTAAGCCACCTGGTCTGTGATATCTCATTCTGGAAGCCGTATTCAGCTAATAATACAGCCTCTTAGTATAAACTGACCCTGCAAAAAACAAAGGTGGTCTTTATGAGAAATGCAGGGTCATTGAAAAGAAATTACATATTTATAGATAACATGTGGGAGTCATGGATGTCTTAGTTCATTTGTTGTAATAGCCTGTTGTACTATAGACTGTGTGGCCTATCAACAATAAGATTTTATTTCCCATTGTTCTGTACACAACAAAGTTCAAGATCAAGGTGCTGGCTGTTCAGTGTCTGCTTCCTGGCTTGCAGATGGTGGTCTTCTAACTGTGACCTCACATGGCAAAAGTGTCAAGAGTCTTGGGGAGATTTTCTTATCGAGGGCAATAATCCCATTCATGAAGGCTCCACCCTCAGCTAACCACCTTCCAAGGTCCTACTTCCTACCAGGGATTAGAATTTCTACATTATAAATGGCGGTGTCGAGGGGGGGAGGTGGTACAAGCTTTAAGTCTATCATATGGGAAATGGATATTTGGAGCCAAAAGTTCAAACTGGAGATAAAAATCAAAAGCTAACAAAAAATATGACTAAAGGCCCAGTGAGTAGAGGTAATTAAGATAATAACTCAATGAGCTCCGCAGGTACATGTTGAACTTTTCTTTTGCTAAATCTCATTAGTAATCAACCTACTCCCCACCTCTCAGTGCCTGAACGCTGATTGGGATATAAAATTGAACATTTTAAGCCGTTGATCCATTTTTCTGTGACTGTTATTATTTTTCTATAATAGTCATAAACATTTATAAATTAATGAAAACTCTTAGGGCAAAATATTGAAACAAGGGAAGAAACAGCAGGGAACTAAACAGACAATATAAATTGCACATAGTAGTTATGAAACAGCATTAAAAACTAAAGATTTTAAATTGAATTGAATCATAGTGTTTTATAGTAGCAGTTAATTTGGCATTCTCTACGTGGGATAGACTGTAATATTTCATATTTGCGAATATTATGTAGCTCTCATATTAAGAAGTTGCTTCTCTTCATTGCTTGCTCCAAGATATTTACCATAATATTGTTTCCTGTTCTTTTAGATTCAAATAAAAATAATCTGCTGTAAATTAGAATAGTAGAGTTAGAAGAAACTTAGGATTTCTGGGTACTAGAGATATAATTGTTTTTCCTTTTCTTCCTTGTACTTCTCTGTATTTTGAAAATTTTTTTTCTTTAAGCAGAAAAGTACAAAGAAGAAAAATCCAGATTGCTTAACATTCTACCATCCATAGTATTTTTTGTGTGACCCTTAGCATTTTTTTGTCATTTTTGTTTCTCCTCCGTGTATTTCTGTTTTTAAAGTTTTTATTGCTGTTTTTAAAGTTATATCGACAAAGCCATACTATTTGAAAATTTGTTTCTAAACTGTTTTTAAATGGACACCATCAAGTACCATGAGGGCACTTGCCTTGTAGTATTTGAATGGCCTTCATATCTCCCACATAAATTGCAAACTCCTGAGGTCCTTAGGATGGAGACCACATCTCTCTACACCTTTGGGTCCTCATTGGATCCCCCAGGATACCGTAAACTTAGACCAGTAATTGCTGACAAGTATCTCCTCTTAGTGATCACTTATTGTGGATCCCAAGAGTATATTTTCTCATTCATTCAATTAATATTTTTTGTCTACTATGTGCTAGTTACGAAGCTACTATATTAAAAACTTAACTATGTTATAGAAATTTATTTCATTGGAATTTATTGAAGTTCTCAAAAAAAGCCAGAATAGTGAGTTTAAAAAATAGGTTTCAAAAGTTAGAAGTTGGAGACCTTTATTGAGGTCTTGGATAGCATGGTGATTGTATCAGTGTGTAATGTGTTCAACTACAATTGAGGGAAAATAAAACTAGTATGATTTAAACAGTAACAACATCTCTTATTTATTTTGTAAGTATTCTACAGTTGGGTAATTAACTTTTTAGAATTAATTAGTTAATTTTTTCAATGCTAGGGCCTTGCACATGCTAGGACTACACAAGTGTTCTACCACTGAGCTACACCGGGTCGAGGACTTGGGTCTTTGATATTCCAGTTTTCTTTTTGTTTTTTCCTATTTTAGCAAGATGTTAACACTAGATCCAAGCCTTACATTTGTATAATCCTTCCCTGTAAAAATGGAAAGGAAAATGATGGAGCAGAAAAAGACTTAAAATTTTATTGGGCAGATAAAACATTTCTAGAATCCTTCCGGGAGACTTCCTTTTATATTTCATTGCGCATATCTGCATTGATGCACATGCAAAGGACAAGGAGGAGCAGGAGTGTGTTTGACACTCCACTGTGGGAGACAGGCAAGGGAGAGAGAATTGGGAATGGCTCCTCACAGCCATTCAGCTGTGTCCACTGTAGTACCTTAGTGATTGGTTGGCTGACACTGAACTCATATTGGGCTTATACTGTCAGACTTGCTACATAGCTGCTGTGTGACCCTAAGTAAATTTTGTGATCTCTCTCACTCTTGTTTATTTTCATCCTTGTGGGGCATATATCTTCTTTACAGGTAGTTGTTTGGACTAACTGATGCAGGGTCTGGCACATAGTTAGTGCAACAATAAGTTAGCTTGATGTTTGGTTGTTTATATCCTAATGGTAAGGAGTGGGCAGAGATTTCTGTAGGAGATCTTCTGTATCTGAGTCCTGAGTTGGTCTTAGAGTTGGGTTAATTCAAGAAGCCAGTCTAGAGAGATTAATTTTGAGGAAGAGTTCTGAAGGAAGGTAGAGACAAAAAATGATATATCTAGAGACTTAAAAATAGCAAAAAGCACTCTCTAAAAACATGGTATTATAATTACAGTCATCACTGCAATAGACCATTATGATTTTGTATAAGGGGGAGAATATAGCAACATTGCTGATTTATTTAGGTGACAGGCTCTTCGGAGCAGATAAGGACATTATAAAACCAACAGAAAGCTAGCCTGTGCTGGGAAGTTGACACTTCTGCCTCAGTTTTGTTTTTAGCTTTAACTTACTATTTCTCCTACTCATTTTTGGAACCTTGAATAGAACACCAACTATACAGGCTAGGGTTTTTGTTTTGTTTTGTTTTGTTTTTAACTGAATGATATTTGTCTTCAATTTTAAGTCAGAAATTAATTTCACATTTATTTCCGATCATCTCCTAAACCTTTATAAAAATGGAACTGAACCTTTCTTTCTTTTCAAATCAATAGTTTGGGGGTCTCTGTGACTCTAGCCTATGTTTATATCACTCCAATTTGTAGGGATTTACAGAAGACGATCACATCAAATTCTTCCCTACAAGTTCTGTTTTCCTTCTTGTCAAGCTGCAGACATGGAACTCAACTCAGGCTGGAATCTTCCGGAACAAGGACCAAGGAATGGGGGAGGCTTACCTCAGCTTGTGGTGTTTAAAGAGGGATATTTAGATCTCAGTTTTCCTGAGAAGAATAGCTCAGAAAAGTAAATGAGAGGTCTGAAGTTTCAGGCCAAATGTAAGAGCAGGGAGCAAGAGTCAAATCCCAGAGCTCTGTGACAGGGAACAGTGTGCTCAGGGATGTCCCTGGAGACAAGGCCCAAAGAAATTCAGAAACTGAAGTGAGAAATGAAGGCAGGAGATTAGAACCTTGCAGAGCAGACATGAGAAAGAGTTCAAACCATCTGAAACTTACCTTCTTTTTCCCTTCTTCTTAATTAAAAGGACAGATATTCCAGAAAGAAATCTTCCATAAATATACACTATCATATTAATCATATTATTATATATAAATAAGATAAACATATTATAGCAGTTAGAAGATTATTTTGGGGAGTTAGAAAGATGTAGTTTGAATCCCAGTTGTGCCTTATGTGATTTAGGAAAGTTAATATCTGTCTCACTTTTCTCTTTCAAACATGGTGCTAATAGGTACCTCCCCTGCAGGAATATTGGACTATTTTTAATAGGGATTCAATAAAAGGCAGCTATTGTGTATTTCTTGATCTTTGTGTAAAGCATATATTGCTTAAGTCTTTAGGATTTAGTTCTTAAAGTGTGTCAATCAAAAATAAATAAAGTATTCAGTTCAAAATGAGCAGAGATGTCCCATGCTAATTGGGAAAGAGGATAGGAAAGGTTGTTCCAGTCCATAAATCACTTTCTTATTCAATTAAGCTAATTTCTTTTCAATGCCAACATGTTCTTAAATTCATGAATTTTTATAAAGAAAATTATCATTGACTTACTAATTCATGACCCCCAACATGAAGTTGCCCCTTTAAAGAAACCATGCTCTGAACAACTAAGAAATATAAGTGGAAACTATGTCCCAAATAATTTGTATGTCTTTAGAATACTTACTGTCATTATCACATTTGAGATTTCAAGAAAAACTCAGGAAGTTGTATTATTACTTTGGCTTTGACAACTGCTAGAAAGACTGGGGAAAATGTTACGAATATATATATTTTCTCATGGTGGAACATTTAAAACTTAGTCAAGGGCTGGGGATGTGGCTCAAGTGGTAGCGCGCTCGCCTGGAATGCGTGCGGCCCGGGTTTGATCCTCAGCACCACACACCAACAAAGATGTTGTGTCTGCCGATAACTGAAAAATAAATATTAAAATTTCTCTTTCTCTCTCCTCTCTCTCTTTTTTAAAAAATAAATAAATAAAACTTAGTCAACCTCTCTTTAACATTTGACTAATTGTTATTACCATTTTACATCTTGCTGTTGCACACAAGAATTGCATTTTAGAATGAAAAGGCTTTAAAGTGGTTGGTTATTTTTCCCTTTCCAACACACTCAGTAATTTTATTGTGGTCCTCTTTGGCAGCTTGGTGGTTTTTTTCCTTCCTTTTCCTTCTTCTTCAGGATGCAGTTCAGATTTCAGTTCTTGGACACTTTTGCTGTGTGAGCCTTGTTCACTTATTTGTAAAATGGGATAATAATCTGATACATAGGATGTTTTGAAGAGTAAATGAACCATGCATGTCAGGCACAGCAAATGATACCTTTTATGATTGTAGCACATCAGACTGAACTGTTATTATTTCCTTGATTGGATTGTTGATACCTTTGGGGGAAGGACTGAGCTTACCCAGTTTTGTAACCTAGGGACAACATAGGACCAGGCATCTAGTAAGTCTTTTGTTGCATAAACTAACTGCACTAATAATCTCCTATGTGTCTTGCTGCAGGCAGGGTGATTGACCTCCCTCCTCTCAGATTCATCCTCTGGCCTTAGAAACACAGTTGGGAAGAGAGTCCTCCTAGCTTCTAGTAGGGGCTCTGGAAATGCACATACATGTGTACAACAGAGTGGAGACAGGAGCTCTACCTGTGGCAGGAAGGACTTCTGGTGGGAGAATGGGCACCATGGTGCTCTCTCAGCCCTGGCCTTGGCATATGACAGTCCTTCTTCATAGGAAAAACCTGATACAAGTTCCCTTACTATCCCTTATATATTCTGAGACTTATCCAGTTTCTTTCTACTGGCTCGGATTTCATTTTATTCCTAATTGTTGAAATCATTCCCTACTCTCAAGTCTTCTTGAAGCATTTCCTCTGTTTTTCTGAAGCATGGTATATTTACTTCTTTCAAAGCACAGGCAAATATATATGTGCTTTATTTAAAAATAAAATATTGTTTATAACACTGTAGCTATAATGGTGCTACCCAATGTACTAAGCTGTTTACTTGTATTATCATATTGAAACCTTAACAGGGCTTTATGACCAATGGTCTACTATCTCCCACCCTAAACTTTATAGATGAGAAAACTGAGGTTAATAGTGATTAAATAACTTGTTGAAAATCATGGAATAGAAGTGGCAAAAGAGGATTTAAAGTAGATCTTTCTGATTCTAGAGGGTGGAGAATCACTGAATACCAACACAGTGGTAACATGTTCTCAAAAATGATTAAAAACACCATAAATTTTTAAAAGAACCAGCTACTGTGAAACTAACTTAGATTTTGGTGGGGAAAAACATGGCAGACATTTGAATAAGGCTCATTAGTACAATTGGATATTTTTCCTCATATGATACACTCAATAATATGCTTAGAAAATACAGTACCCCACCCMCTGCCCAAATATGCCATTGGTAGTAAGATCTAACCTTTAAAATTTTGTTGATTGTTCACTGTCAGACCTAGAATTGTCCTTGTGCTTGAGCAGAGGGGCTCAATATTAATTGTAAAAGTTTAAACTAGCTCTGGGAATTATAGACATCCAGAAGCACATAACATCAAAGTTCAGAATTCTTTTAGTGAATTTGGATTTCATTTAAAAATATATTGAATGAGTGTTATCAAAGAAAATTTCAGATTGGCTTATAAGAAAGAATTTTTTAAAAAGTATTCCCAAACGTAAAGCAGCTATGACATCAAAGAATAGCCATATATTTGTACTACTTGGTAATATCACTTACCCTAATTTAGATTAGTGTGATTAGATTAAAGCAATCAAGATCTTTGTAAAATAGAGTTTATGACCTTCTTACTGGATTTCAGAAAGCTTTACCTGCTCCCCAAAGTTGCCTCTTTGATTTGGGTTTCTGATTCCTACTGTTTTGTAATCAGAGCTTGCACTCTAGACTTAGGCCTTGATCCTGTCAAGATACAAATTCCCTCTTCAAGAGGGGATGCATTGCTATGATTCACACAAAGATGCACCATCCAGAGTTCCCTCCAAGGAAGAGCTTCCTATGCATCTATAGAGGTGCTTTCTGTGGATCCTCCAGCCATCAACATCTCCAGCTGGCCTCAGCTCAAGGTAACACCTTGTCTAAGATCATGTCCTTCCCGGGCAGACCTCATTGTTGATTGAGTCTGGATGGGGATAAGAGTGTGACCACTTGAGACTGATACCAGACAACCCTGAGGAGCAATACTTACTCCAGAGTACTTTACTAGATTGGTCAAGTCTTTGCTTTGGTCCATGTGCAGTTTGATTTCTCTCTCTGCTGTATCCTGCTTCGGCCCCTTTCCTTTCACAAGTTTTGATCCCTAATAAACATACTGTGTGCCCAACTGCATTTTAGCATGTATTCTGAACACTTCTGGGAATTGCTTTGCAGGGCCTCAATAAAGTTGGATTAGGACGACAGAGAAGCAGGAAGTAGGAAGAGAAAAGGAAGAGGAGGAGGAAGGAGAATCTGACATTGCCAGATGGTTTGAGAAGATTGTCATTTAGGAGACAGAAGGACACAAGAAAGGAAGGTTGATGTGTGCAAGGGAAGCTTTACCTACTTACTACTGTTGTTCGAGTCAGCGCTGCATATCAGAATAAATGAGTAGAATAGCATGGAGATTTTTTCAGATCCTCTCTAAAAATGGCAGCTTTCTGACATGTTAACTAAACATGGATATTATCAACTACAAAGAATCTGAGGATTTAGGAAAGGAACAATATTTATTTATCTGTACATTTAGAAAGCACATTCTAGGCATCGTTCTGTGAACAGGGACAAGTTAAGGTCTGCACGGAGTTTCTAGTCTAGAGAAAATATAATACAGAACCTGGCCCTCTAACCTTAAAAAGCTAGTGCTTGGGTTTATGTGAACCTCTTACTAAGAGGATAATGATCAATTGACTACACTTTGAAGAAAAAGAATACAGAAAAACATGTAGCCTCTTCCAAGGAAGATTTTCCTGCTAATGGGGGAAGTGAAATACAAGAAACAGTTACTCATGATGGAAATCCTTAAAGAGTAGTTTGACTTGTAGAACATTTTTAAGTTTAGGTATAAATTGATTATGGAAGAGAAGTTGTAACTCCATGAAAACATTTAGCATTAATTGAGCATTTACTATGTGTGGTAAAAGAAGCACTATTATTATGTCCATTTTCAGAGGAAGATATGAGGCACAGCAAAGTTAAGTAGATTGCCAAATACCACACTGTCCCTTGAGACACAGCAAGGCGATTTTGGTTTTAAAAATCTATGTCATTTCCGCCCTTTAAAACCCCTGCACTGCTGTCACAAAACCATCCATCCAGTCTCAGAAGCACAACACATACCTTATAGGTCATTCCTCTGAGTTTCACACAACTTGCCTTTTATCAAACACAAGTATCATTGCTGTACTTCCCACCCCTGCTCTCTATGACCCTGCCTTAGCATCAACCACTTGCCCATCGATACTGCAGGTTCCCCCTTCCCCAGGCTGAACTCTGCCTCACAGGACACAGTTCAGCTTAGTTGTTCCTGGTTTGACTCTTGGGTCAACTTTAACTGGTCATGAGCTAGTTATCTAATCACTCTCTACCTTTGGGAACTCTTCTGTGAACTCCTCTGTGAAGAAGTGGAGTAACAGTGCTCTACAGGGGTGTTGTGAGAATCAAGAGACATAGTGCATATTATATAGAGTGATTACTGTATGCACTATGAAAAATGTAAGTAAATATTCAATGTTTGTGATGAAGATTACTGGTTTCCTACCTGCCTGCCTTTCCTTTAGACTGCCTTATTA